GGGATTCCCATGATGCACTGGGTGTTTCTTCTTCACTCACCTTTTTAAAAATCCTTTAATTATCCAGGTAAAAATCTCATTTCCAATAGAGTCCTGCCATTTTTCACTCACTACAATCATGAGTTATTATTAATCTCATATTTGTTTAATATGTGCATTGTAGGACATATCCTGGTCAAATAGGACTCTCAGTGATACTGGAGGCCAGAATCTGGTTAGAGACCATATTTCTAGGACTCTCTGCCACAGCGTGTCTTTGTCTCGTCTTCCTCCCGTCACTCCAACCGGTCGCAGCAGATGGCCCCGCCCTCCCTGAGCCTGGTTCTGCTGGAGGTTTCTTAGATATGTTTAAATACCGCCTACATAGCTATCTGTTATTTAGACATGTTTGTTTGACCCTACGTTTGATGTGCAGCACTTTGGTGAACTTTGTAGGTTTAAATGTGCAGGATAAATAAAATAACTGATTTATCCCTGACAATACAGCTCCTGGAGTCACTCAGGTGTGTAAAACCGCCCACTGGATCATCACTTCCTCATCTTTCTATCAAGTTTCTATTTATTTTATTTGAAATCTCATTCGTTGACAGCACATGTGACAGCGACGTGTCTCCACAGAGATAATATTTATACTGACATTTCATTCTCTAGACTTTGAACTGACACACAGCACCAACCTTTGGCTCCTTTCCCGAGAGTTTTGATATCCGCAGCAGATTTTCCCCAAGTCATGATGTTCCCTTCAGAGTCTCCGGTGAGAACATCTCCAGTCAGGCTGAACACAAAGCACTGGATGAACTTGGGCTTCTTGTATTTCTGAAAATAATAAACAATTATTTGATCTTTTGTATTAACTGTGCTAATAACTGATCGTCTACATGTTTCCATCTATTTCTTTGGACATGTTGAATTTTCAGTTCTCTTTGCTGAGCTTCTTCCTCTTTTGGCCTCTACAGAAAGATGCTGCCAACTCCGTTTTCCACTGCTTCCTTGCACTAGCACACGTTAACTTTAAAAAGACAGAAATGTCAATCAGGACGAACACGACTGAAGTTAATCTTACTCCAAAGATGCCTTGCTTTTTCGTGAGCTGTCCTCCACTCAGCGTCCAAAAGTAGACGTGGGATTTTCCACAGGTGATGATGTTGGTGCTGTCCCGAGGGTTAAACTCGACAGCAAACACAGCCTCGTTGGTGCTCTGAACACACAACAGCATCAGAAGGGTTAGTGCTGTTACATCAGTCGCACTTCAGCTCCACTCACAAAGTAATTTAAGGCTTGAATCAGATACATAAACAACAACTTTGAGCTGTAAAAGAAAAGAAAGATTTCTTTTGTTTGAATCTTTTTTTTTCTTAATCGTGAAAGTGAGCAGGTGACCAGCCCAACACACTTGAAGTCCCATTAACAAATGCTCATAAGTTGCTGCATGCAGACCAAGGTTATTATCGTTAACGAAAACTAACGAAATAACGAAAACTAGAAGTGAAAAAACATTTTCGTTAACGGAAATAAAAATAAAAACAAAAAAAAGGAAAACTAACTAAAATTAACTGAATTTATAGCAAAAATGTGTTTAGTTTTCATTGTTGTGTGCGTGTCATACAA